CCCCAAAACCCCAAAACCCCAAAACCCCAAAACCCCTTAATTAAACAATACTCCGATTTTTATAAAATCTAAATGCAAAAAATTTATCATTATTAATCAAACGTTTTGCTTGAATCCTAATTAGACTTTGAACTATTATCTCCGAAATCATCTTTATTAAAAAGAATTAAGTCTATCAGATTTTTTCTAATCCATCTTTCAAGATACTCATATATGAAGTTATATTGAACCTATTTCTTAACCATGTTCCATCTTTATTCTCTCATTTTCCTGACTGCTCCAAATACGGATACTCTAACTTTTCTGTAGAGTGGATATGCCTCGAGAATGCTATCATCTATATCAACTAAACTCATTTCTTCCTGCATCGCTTGTAGCCTCTCAATCGATTCTAAAATTGCATAAATTGCAATTATTGTTCCTGTTCTACCTATTCCAGCACTGCAGTGTACTACAATCGGAGAAGGATTTTCACATTGTCGAAATTTCTTAATTTTTTTTACTAAGTTATCAATGTCATCAAAATGATCATCGTCTGCCTTCGCATTATCATCCTCCCATCTTGTATTCTACAGTTGAGTAACTTCTAGCTATTGTTCATCTGAATTTAAATTTTTCAGGAGGAATTTTCGTTATGTAATTCCTGGTGAGACTTATTTCTCTTAAAGAAATGTAAGTTGGAAAGCATTACCGAATTCTCTTTGATTCGCACTCTAGGTCACCCAGTAAAAAGAGGATTCTTCCTATTTAAAAATTTAATGAGTGAATGAGTTAAATTACTTTTTTAGGCCCTTAAACCGGACATAACATTATAATTAGTCTAGATTTCTACTCCCAAATCATCTGCCAGAAACGTTCTAAAGTGTACTCGATTGGGGCTTATGTTGCTATAAAAGCTCTATCTCCATAACCTCTCACAAAAGTCTAAGATTATAACTGGAATAAGGACTTTTACATTGATATAATTAGCATTCATATAATAGTTTAGTTCCTCATTATAACCAGGACCCACATCACTTGGAGCAGTTGTAGGCAAATTTTTCAAAACTACTCTGCTATGCACAACTAATTAACACATTAAATTGATAATTTAATTACAAGGGAGCACTTCATTGTATCTATTTTGCTTTCTAAATTCCATTTATGGACTGTTGTACAAATTTTTGACATGGCCTTTATGTTGGGTCATTCTCTACAAAACTCTAAATTCCATTTCTAGTTTTCTTTATTCTTTAGCATCAGAAAACTCCTCTAGAGCTATGCCTCTTTCTAAATATTACAGATCCTCATTTTTGTCTACTCTATTTCTAAGATAATGCTGATTTATATTACAAAAAATATGAGTAGTCATGACTATACTCAGGACCTTCAATAACAATAGGAATGCTCTTAAATTTGTCATAACATTATAGCTTTTCTGGTGTCACTAGTTGAGGACTGTCATCATTATTAAGACTTTACTAGTTTTGAACTATAATTTCAATTTAATAGAAGGAAATATACTGGAGCCAATAGAATGCGTAGAGGCATTTGCTTGATCAGGCTGATTGCTAAGGTTTTCCATAGTTTATTTTCTAAGAGTTGATTTTAATAAAATATTACTTTAGTTACGTCAATTTCATATCAATTTCAGATTCATGGGGTTTTGGGGTTTTGGGGTTTTGGGGTTTTGGGG